AAATAAATAAAAGCATACTGTAAGAAAGTCAATTTTTAAATAGTGAAATTTTTTAATATTCATAGAAAGTAATAAAAAATAATTGACAGAGGGTGAGGTTTGTATAAGGTGCCTTCGATATGCCATAGAAGTAAGGCGAATCTCTTGCCTAGAGATGTAGTTCCACTGTTGAAAACCTCACAAGTGATTGAAGATCTATTTTCATCCCTAGTTATGAAATTTAAAATTTTGAAAATAGTACATGTAGATCGGATCTATACACACTTAAAAATCTTAAAATTACACAATCCAGATCACTTGTTACTAGATGAATCATTATTAAGACTTGAAATTTTATTTTATTTTTTATTTATATAACTCTAGGTCCTTCCAGAGGATTTTTTTCTGTGCACCTCACTTTAATAGTATAAAGTTCACACCTAATATAAACTTTTTCTTTTAAGAAGGGCAATAAGTATGATAGTCACTATAGAGGTTCACACCTAATATAAACTTTTTCTTTTAAGAAGGGCAATAAGTATGATAGTCACTATAGAGGTTCACACCTAATATAAACTTTTTCTTTTAAGAAGGGCAATAAGTATGATAGTCACTATAGAGAGGTAGCGGTTGGTGAGTCAAGGCACACATGCATCCTCTTGGCCCTCCAAGATAAGCGGGAAAACAAGGGCACCAAACCAAAGTTAAAAATAAATGGTGTAAAATAATAAAAATTCATGTTTACATTTTTTTAATTTATTTTGCTTTTTTATATCTAAATGATCGAGACTATTGATCCTAAACACACAGATCCTAATTCCATCAAGATAAATCTTGGAGGGGGGATAAGTATGTGAGTCAGCAGACACACCGATACCTGATCCTTTTCAATACCAATAGAAGTAATGAATGAGATACTTAAAAACCCAACATCCGCCATCCATATTTGTCTTTAGGGTAGAGCACGGCTGCAAGCCTGGCCCGGCCTTTGGCCCAATATGACTGGCCCAGCCGGGGCCAAAAACAAATGAGAAAAAATTAATACAAAACAAGAGAAATAATAGGGCCGGGCCAGCACTTGCTTTGGCCTATACCTCAAGCCATAGTTTGTGGCCTGGGCCCTACCCTTTTAGACTCGGGCTGGCTAGCCCATTGCCAATCCTATGTGTAATGACGTTGGGTGACGAGAGGAAGATGGTAAAAGGAGGGACTTCAACCCCATGATACAAGGATGGAGGCCGAAAAGTCATTTCAGACGATATTACAATTGGGACCCATGTGTTAAAAAATATCCGGGACTTAGATCGTAATTAGTGGATCGGCAATCCAGATCGGTCGGGTTGGGTCGAAAAAAGTTTGCAAAACATCATTTAAATTTATTAAAAGTTCTAATTTTTTGGGGTATTGTATTAAGGATTTTCATTGTTTTATCAAAAATAAATAATGATAGTACGTTTCATAGTGTTTTTTTATCATTACACTCTCATTTCACAGTCGAAATGTAGTTTAAAATGTACTATAACTACTTTTTTGTTTTTATGTTTTTATAATCGCTAGCCCACTTAGCAGGTAAATATAAGGGGTCTTGCTTACTCATTTTTTTCTTTTTCTTTTTTTTTTTTCTTGAAAGTTAATTGACTGAATTAAGTATTTATTCAATCGTATTTTTATTAATTGTTTCTCTCTCAAAAGGTGTCGTATTTAATTTCTCTTTCTTAAGGTATCGTACTTATTTTTGTTTGTATTTTATTTATATCTCATTATTTGTTTGAAAATATCAACCTTATTTGTTCTATATTGATTTAGCGTATAGATTTTTTTTCTTAAAAATATTAACCTGTTTATTTTTAAAATATATATAAAGAGTGTTTCCCAACTTGTTCTACGTTAGTATGCATGCGAATATTTTCAAAGCCTTAAATTTTTAAAATACAACATAATGCATAATTAAGACTAGGAAAATGGTCCGTAATAATTTATAATTAATTCAACCATTTCTTTTGATTTAGATTCTAATAGCTATCCTATTTTTATTAATACAAAATGTGAATTCAAGTATCAAAATTTGAGTATTCTGCTAAGATAAATTTAGATTTAGTACACAAATGCATTTGAGTTTAGCCGAACCTAATTTCTCACACCTTTAATAAGAAAAAATAAAGTTCCTATTAAAAGCAAGAGATATTTGGCCATTTAAAGGTTAATAAGAGAAAACAAGTTATCCATCAATGGGAGATATTATGCCGTTTAAAGGTTTTTAAGAAAAACGAAGTTCTTATTAAAGGAGAGAGATATTGGGCCAGGGTTTTAATCCTTTAAATATGAACCAAAAATCCAGTATCTCTCACTTTTAATAAGAAAAAATAAAGTTTTTAATTAAAGGAGAGAGATATTCTCTCATTTAATCCTTTGGTATTTGGTATTTACTGTATTGAACATTTTACCTCCCAAAAAAAAAAAAAATAATAATAATAATAATAATAAGTGAGAACCAGATATAGGGAGAGAGTGGGAAAAGCTTTATCCCAATAGACGAGAAAAGGGACCCAAAATCTCGTGTCTTATAGCATTGATGGGTAAAGTTCCCCATGTGCATGTGTGGTAGGCCCAAGTAAATTAAAATTTGAAATTACAACAAATTAGATGTGGCCCGGTTCACTTTAGAACCATACCATTTCTCTAACACAAAGGCTGATTTATCAGCTACCTAATTGGTTTCCAAGGCCCCTTCAATTGTTATTTTTTATTAATCAGCGACCTAATTGGTTTCCAAGGCCCCTTCAATTGTTATTTTTTATTAGGCGATTTCTATCTAGATCATTGATTTTCAACCCAACAAGCGCACACAAAAGTCACTTCATAGGAAATTAAAAGCATTAATTTTATTTGATAATTCAGTTGGGTATCCGTTTTTTTCAAGTAAATTAAGAGTAAGTTTTTTTTTAAGGTATTGGCGTGGCGATACTAGTGGTGGGAATGAAAACGTGACTAGGATGTGTGAGGTGTTACCACAAAGACCCCAACTCCTCTCCCAATTAAAAGCATTAACTGATATGCAGGAAAACCAAAAGGGAAATTAGGGTTGGGAATAAGTAATTTTTCTGTTTATTTCAGCCACTAATCTGAACGAGTTATTATTGAGAGGGCCCACAAAAATCTCAATTAATGCAATGACAAAATTTCAGCACAAATGCTTTTCTCAGTATTCGCTGAACGAGTTGCTTAATTGTCTGTTCCCAAATGCCACAACAGGGAATTTAGTATCCCACATGCCGCTTCCCTCACCATCAAGTTGCTCGAAAGCAACAAGCAATGGCTAAAACGAAAGCTGTTGCGGAAAAGGCTAGCTATTTTCTTACAAGAACCAACGGCTACAACAAAAGCTGTTTAGGCAAAAGCCCATATGTTTGGTTGCTATCACGGGGCCATTTATTAGATATGTTTTATTGCTTTGAAGGAATCATTTAATTGGATAATTGGGAAGGAGGCAAGGGTTTCCCTACAGTGGTTGTTGCAGGCCGCATGGAGCCAAAAAACCAAAAACCTGCAATCACAGGTGAGAGTGAGTTTTAGAGGGAGAGCAAAAGAGTGGGGAAGGAAGGCTGGCATTTATTAAAAACAAATAATTAAATGCGTTTGCTTTTTCCGGGCAAGCAGCTGGAGATGCCCGAGCGACGTGGAAAAAGCCCTCTCTCTCTCTCTCTCTAAAATCTCTCTACGACCCGCCCAGTCCAGCCCAGCCCAGCTGACGAAAAATAAATGATCCCTGTTACCCCTGTCAGAGACTTTGACCCCCTACCGTTTACCCCTGGTACAAGCAATTCCCTCTCTCAAGCATATGGGTATAATAGTCATTTTTTGAAAATATCGATCTAGTTTTTTCACCGAGTGTACCTGGAGATTTCGGCCCTTCGAAAAGACACGCGTGCAGGCCCCCAACGAAATATCGGCTCCGCGCTCACCTGTAAAACCGCGACTGCAAGTTCCGAAACGAAATTTCCTTCTCCCCGACATTCGCGAAACGATGCCGAAAATTTAACCGCGGTGACTAAGAATGACATGCTACCCCATAAAAGGGTGGGTCCCAAGCGCCGTAAAAGAGCTGACACGTGTCAGTGCAGGATGGTGAGGGCGACCGAATAAATGGGACAAGCCGACCGGATGGAACCAATTTCCAACCGGTGGTGGGCCCCGCGTAGGCGCCACGTGTCGCTGTTAACCGGTGCCGGTATTTGAAATTTGGTAATGTTTAAAACGGAAGGCTTTAAAAGTAGAGAGAGATAGGCGTCACCATGAAATGGAACTGGCACACACTGTCACCCCCAGATCTGGTTATGCAGTCAAAGAAGGCTCATCCCGGATCTCCACACTCCAAAATAAAGAAATTCATCAAGTCTCAGTATTAAAGTTAGAGAGAGAAACAAAGTGGAGGAGAGAGAATGCCATGAAGCAAAAAAGTGCAGGAGTCGAGTACAGAGAGATAAAAAGGAAGGAGACGGAAGTGAGGAGAAACTAAAAATAAAGGGTCAGCACTGAGTAAGAGAAAAGACAAACTAGAGAGAGAAAATGAACTAGAGAGAGAGAATCATGAAGTAGAGCCAACAAAATGCAAGAGAGAGAGAGGACCAGACAATGAGAGAGAAGAGAGAGAAACAGAAAGAGAAGTGAGAAAAGAAAGGATAAAAAAGAAAAACAATATCATCAAACCATCTCTTTGGATGTGCTTTATCTCCCCTTTTCATGCTCACTCCACACCCTCTCCCCCACTTCTTTCTTTGCAAATCACCTCTCTCTCTCTCTCTCTTCCTCTCTCTCTCTCTCTACTACTTCGTCAGAGTGCAGTCTCTACGACAACGACTACTTACCACACTACAACCAAAACCCAAAACCCAAAACCTAACTACTACTAACTAAACTACT